GATGTTCGCAGGGGCAGTGATCGGCGCAGGAAAGAAAGAAATGGAGAAGAGGGCAAGGACAAGCCCCGGGACTATGACAGCCGTCACAGTTCATCACGAAGAGACAGGAGCACTTCCACAGACAGTCGACGCAAGAGAAAGCGCCGAGACGACGATGAACGTGATAGCGAGGGTAGCAAAAGACGTCATCGGGACGACCGGCAAGAACGAGACTCTTCAAGGCGTAAACACCGAGATCGTGAGAAACGCGACGATTCCGGTCGTCGTCGAAAACAAGAAGTGTATTGAATTTGAGCAGAGTACAGAGTACTTATACCAAGGAAACCGTGTCGGGAGGAAGTGCTCCATATCATAGAAAAGACTATTCAAGCGTAACCGCCAACTTCCGCTCGTGATGTAATGGCAGTATAATCTCCCGTTGGTGCGATTAACGCAACCGTCTAGCTAACTTTATACCATACAGCCTATTCCAGAAGTCCTATACCGACAAGATCAACGCCCTCGACCTTGTCTAAATCTACAAGAATCAATCGAAAAATTTCTGCGTACAATTACCTACTGCAGCAGCGGGACCAAATAATGTCTCCCCGGAACGGCAGGCCTTCTTTCCATCATTTCAAGCTCAATAGCTACTGCGCACAGGTAAGATCCTAGCTTCATGTACATATCGTTGTGGACGCCGCAAATGTCACGGGAATTAAGATGCCAACTTGGCAAGCCATTCTTTAGGGCACTACTTCGGCAGATTAGCCGCATGAAGACTAAAGCGGGAGCTTATAGGCAAGAGCTAGATTTGAATATGAAGGCAGTGGAGAGGGCGTTGAGAGAGATCAAGTAGGTATGAGTATATCCTATCTACTGGAAATTCGGAACTCTTGGCTTCGTTCGGAAAAGCGGGAGCAGAATGGTAGCAAAATCCGAAGACAATGCTTAACGGCTCTTCCAGGGCGAGATGCTCGAGGATGGAATATCGTATCCCAGAACTTTGGTCCTTGATAGAAAAAAGTACCGAAATGCCGCGAAGTATACTACACCGCCCAGACCCTGAGACTGGCTCATTACCTTCACCAGCATTTCAGTATCTTTAGCCAGTCTTGCTTGTTCACAACCATCATACGAGATATTCCCACCCATAGCCATCAACGTTTACTAACATTTTCGAACCCTACTCGTAAATGACGGCTCAGGTCCTAGCTGATCTTTTAGATAATCCCCAACAAGGACCCAGAAATTCCATCATCATGAATCACATCACCGTTTTCTCTTTGATCCCACCGAAATCTTTCAACATGCCTTGCAGATCTAGTCACCACGTCCATATCTTCAGAACCTGCTATTAAACCGTCGCTAGTTTCAAATTCACCTTTACCTGGCGTCCATAGTGGAACGGCGTCTTGGATTGGTAGACCATCTGGGCTACATTTCTGACTGTCAGCGGCGCAAAAAAAACATTCTGGGAGAGATCTCTCTTCCATAGGCTCTCCATACTGCATATCAAATTTTCGCATGAAGTGCGCGAAGGAAAGGCATGATTCCGCCCATGCAAAGATTGTCTCCAATTCAGCGATCACTTGCTCCTTCATTGGATGGTTGAAGACTTACTTGATACGTAGGCACATCCGTGGACCTCTGGAAAACGCTACTAGCTAGTTGTCAAGATCCTGGCTCTCCAGCCAGCGCTCTGGGTCCCACTCTTGCGGCTCAGGGAAGATATCTGCATTGTAGTGCACGAACGTGCTTCACAAGAAACGATTGTCTACTTCAGTATCAGCGTCTGCACTCTCGATAATCCATAGAGATAACGTACAGTGTCACAGATCTTTGCACCTTCCAGTGGAACCATACGCAACAGTCCAGAGACCACTCCAGACGTCAGACGGAGCGCTTCTTTGATGACCGCATCTCACATATCTGGAACAGCCTGTTGGATGACCGGCCACGCCGCACGCAGCTCATTTTTTTTGGTTTTCTGTAAGTCTCTGGCCTTTTGAGTAGAGAAGGTACCCAGCACGAGCGTATTTCCAGTCGTGTCACCACCTGCAAATATGAACGCCTGGGCTTCTTCGTACAAGCTACTCGGCGAGGGTACAGTATGAGTCCGATATGCCTCCTTGTCCATGAGCCCATAGTATATTGTCATTTGATGCAGCAGGTCTTTCAAATACTCCGGATTACCTGTGGGGAGGTTGGTTTGGCTAAGGGGAAGCTTTAAATTACATTAATCCCATTCAACTACCTGTGACACTCTGTCTCGACTTTTCCTAGGAAAGCTCTTTCGGAATCACTTGACCGCTGGAGATCTACTAAGCTGGCCGTCTAAGGACTTGTTTTCTTAGACAATTTCGGTGGATATTTGAGTATCATGTTCTTATATAACTCCGAATGATTGATCCGCATAAGAACAGGTGTCCATAGCCTCGATTATTGGGGCTTTGAAATCAGGTTCATTGATAGCATCCACCGACTGACCAAAATAGAGAAAAGTAACGATACCCATCGCCATGCATCCATAAGTTCAGAACAGATCTACGGTTTTATTTGTTGCACTCTATCGTTTAAACAGGGTGCATGGTGCATTAATCTGTTCAAAGCCAGCATTCAAGAGACGGGAGGGATGAACGGAAGCAACGGACTTTATCTACTATCAAATTCTCGACTTGCTCAATGGCCTTTGGGGAGAGTGAGCGATTGAGAACATCTTTCCGCTCCTCAGCTTCTTTGTAGGTAATGAACCCGGATGAGGACCGATATTCGTTGAAACTGATAGACGCCATTCCTTGTCCCGCCTTTTTTTGTTGTTGTTGATATCATGGTAGGCAAAATGCAACTACCGTTATCGAAATGCAGCCTCTTCTCGTGCGCACATACTTACTTCGTTGGGGCCAACGCGGACAATGTCGCCTTGTTAAAGTTAGTTGATTCAAGTATTCCAATTGCCGCAAAACGTCTGCGTCGGTGTTAGATTGCGCTTTTTCTATCGCAAAGGTGAATTGCACGACTGACCGTATTCAGCATAAAGCACTTCCAAGACGTGGCAGAAGGTCCTACTTTGAATACATTCTACGTATACTTTCCGCAGAACTGTCATTGCCGTTAGATTCGGTCCTGGGAATTGAGATAATGGGTGGTAGTGCACATTCTGGTTTGCTTGTGAAGGAGAGACAACAAACCAGGTATGACGATAAGCAATATGGCAGTGAGGAGGTACTTGGTTTCCCAGCTCAGGGTCGAAGCAAGTTCTATCATATTGGGAAGTTTGAGGACTGGGGAGAGTTCACTAAGCAAGAACCTGGGCGTAATTTGCAGCAAATATCTCCTAGTGCGTTCCTCTCGAGTTACGTTTATCGGATGGTGAGCATGGCGGCTGCTGCATAGCTTGTATGCTCGCTGAGTGTTATGCAGGACTCTTCACGTTCCAGTAGACGTGTATTGCGCGTTACATGATTCACCAATCGACAGGCACTCACCGCATTCAGTGCTACTCGTAAATGCACTTCATCAGGCCCACTGCTCGAGAGAGGAGAGCGGGACTAGGCTTCAGGGACGTACGACCTAGACATAGTCTTCAGATAGTAATCGTTTTCGGTGCATAATACAGATATGCTCGTTAGGTTGTATGGCAGGTTCAATTATTTTGGAAGCCTACCGATTTAAGGATAGTTTCTTGCATTTGTTGTATTTTTGAGATGGAATGCGTTTGTATCTTATTGACGGTTCGTGTTGGAATTTTGAAAAATTGACACAGTAACTTCTATCCTGATAAAAAGGTATCAAATCTGCTCTACCTATATCTTAGCACCGTCGCCTTTACTTGGATTTTTCCTCGCCGCTAAGTTTCTCCCAGCATCAAGTACTAAGCACACATGATGGCTGAGTGCAACGATATCCCCTCCTTCATCCAGCACAATAACCTCCAGATCCAACCTCCCATTCTTGATCTGTTTGGAGCGTACCCTCGCAAACAACCATTCAACTCCCTCTTCAGGAAGCGGTTTCTTGATATCCAGATTGAGTAATAAAGTTGGATACCAGAATGGCCCCGCCTTCTCGTCCTTGTAGTTCTCCACAATCTGCGGAAACATGTCTGCAACATATCCTAGACTTGTATTCGTGAACTTCTCTCCATTGGTAAAGCAGAGCCACTCGTCCGCTAGACTCTTCATCGCCTGCCCATTCCGTGGGAAGAACCACTTCACCTTCTGCGTCGCCTTTCGGAAATTTGGAAATGGCAGCTTCTCCTGTCGTGCCCAATTCTCATCTTTATTGTCCTTCAACTTGAGAAAATCGACAGGAGGAGCAGGAGGGTGCAGCTCGTATTTTGTGTCGAAGGATACGCCCTCCTCGGTGTGGAAATTCGAATTGGTGATGTATCCAACGACCTCCTCGCGACCATCTTGCGACATACTAACGTGGACGACGGATGCCTGCCGTCCGAGTTTTACATCTTGCACTTTAAAGATAGCGGGGCCTTCTTGGGTTCGGCGGAGGAACTCTAGATGTAGGGTTATGGTGTGCGGTTGGTTTTGTCTGGAGAGTGTAGTGTTGAAGTGGGTTGAGACGACGCCGAGGAAGCAGCCTGTCACGAAGCCGCCGTGAGGGACTGTGGATACGTGTTACTCTAACGGAAGTGAACGAAGATGTGATTTTTGAGAGCTTACCTTTGCCAATGCACCAGTCGGCGGGGAAAATGCTGGAATAGGTGTGGGAGTCGAGCGCCTTGATGGCGGTTGCTTCAGCCCAAGAGGTCATGATGAGGATATTGCGTAGTAATGTCACATTTCTCGAGATGCAACGTTTTTAGGAGCATATGAATCTTAGTTGGACATGAACAAGTCAGACGCCCTTCCGGTCTGATCTACCAAATACCGTACCTAGGTATATTGTATTCAGCCGAGGTCTCTATTACTTTTATGAAAAACACATATTAAATATTAGTATATATATTTTACAGTTGGACCGCCTTCCATCAAAATCAAGCAACCTTGAAAACAAGGTTGATGCTTCCCTTGGTGTAGATGGTTTATCACGTTCGGCTGTAATAGAAAATTGTTACCGAAAGGTCCTTGGTTCGATTCCGAGAGGGAAGATTTTTTTTTTTGGCTTTCACCAAAATATTTTTGGTTATAAAATTCGAATACTACTATTTTCATGATGCCACTTTCTATTTTATGTCACTCTATTTTATGTCACTCGGAAGAGGTCAACGTGTTGAAGACAGCCAGGCTGGCTGAGACCATTTGTGTAAAGATGCCTCGGCTCAATTTTCTTGTTAAACCCACTGGCGGGGACGAACGCCACTAATTTAGTGACACTGACAGCCGCCGTCTGTGCCAGGGTATTCCCTTTCACTGCGTAAGTATTCCGCCCAGGTACTCCGTGTGTGCCGGGTGACCTATCCGACATAATGATGCATGTCATTCACTCTTCTTCCCTTCACTCCTCTATTTTCTTTAATACTACTCAAAAACATAACCCAGGCTGAGATATCTATACTGTATCTTCCTCCTTTCCACAATGCCTACCGATTCCACATATCCTCTGCTAGACATCCCGAAAACAGATTTATGGAGTTTCCTATTTGAGAGAAAGGATAAATCTTACCCCGACGACAAGGGCACGCAATACCCTGCTTAAATTTCGCACCGGCAAAAGTCCTCGTTACTGACACTCGCACAGTCATATATCACGACCCCTACACCAGTCGATCCTATAGCTATGCCCAAGTTAAAAACACGGCCATCGATTTCGGCAGCGGTCTCAAGGCCCTCTGGGACTGGCAAAAGGGTGATGTGCTGGGTCTATTCACTCCGAACTGCATCGACACGCCCGCCATAACATGGGGATGTCACTGGGCGGGCGGAATTTTGAGTCCCGCAAACCCAGGATACACGGCTGAAGAGCTTGCCTTTCAACTGAAAGACTCTGGCGCCAAAGCCGTGGTGACGCAGTTGCCACTCATTGAGATAGTGAAGAAGGCTGCGACTATGGTTGGAATACCGGAGAATCGGATCATTATTATGGGTGACGAGCGAGATCCTGAAGGCAAAGTGAAACATTTCTCGAGCATTCGGAACATCTCTAGAACAGCGCGCTATATGAGGACGAAGCTCAATGCGGAGGAAGACTTGGCTTTCTTGGTCTACTCGTCGGGCACGACGGGGCATCCGAAAGGGGTGATGCTCACGCATAGAAATATTGTTTCGAACACACTCATGATCAAAGCTGGGGAGAGCGGAAACCTGAGGTGGGATAATGGCCCGAATGGAGAGGGTGACAAGATTCTGGCATTTCTTCCTTTTTTCCACATCTATGGTATATCCTGCCCAGTTTACTTCTCCTCGATAAATCGGACCGATGATTGATGCTAATTCTATCAATACTAGGTCTCACATGCCTCATTCACCAATCCCTTTACGGGGGCCTCACCCTTATCGTAATGCCCAAATTCGACATTGAATCGTTTTGTAGAATTATCCAAGAGCACAAGATTACCTTCTCATACGTCGTCCCGCCCGTCGTTCTCCTTCTCAGCAAACATCCCGTAGTCTCCAACTACAATCTCAGCTCTGTACGAATGATGAACTCAGGCGCTGCTCCCTTGACAAAAGAGTTGGTGGAAGCGCTGTACAATCGATTAAAGATACCAGTCAAACAAGGTTACGGCCTATCGGAAACGAGTCCTACCACACATATGCAACCCTGGGAAGACTGGGACAAAACAATTGGCGCAGTGGGACGGCTACTGCCGAATCAAACGGCCAAGTACATGTCTCCAGACGAAAAAGAAGTTCCAGCAGGCCAAAGAGGCGAACTCTGGATTAAAGGCCCGAACATCTTCAAAGGGTACCTGAACAACCCCGAGATGACAGCGCACGCACTGACCTGCGACGGTTATTTCAAGACTGGCGACGTCGGATATCAAGATGAAGAACACAATTTCTATATTACGGATCGAGTCAAAGAACTAATTAAATACAAGGGCTTCCAAGTCCCTCCCGCGGAGCTAGAGGGCATTCTCACAGCGCATTCGCACGTAGACGATGTAGCTGTGATTGGAGTGTATAATAAAGACCAAGCGACGGAGGTTCCTAGGGCGTATGTCGTACCTGCGAGTGGGATTAGTAAGGGAGAGAAGGAGGCATCTGAGATTGTGGTCTGGATGAACGAAAAGGTTGCGAGTCATAAGAGGTTGCGAGGGGGTGTGAGATTTGTGGATGAGATCCCGAAGAGTGTGAGCGGGAAGATCTTGAGGAGGTTGTTGAAGGCTAAGGCGGAGGAGGAGGAAAAGGAAGTGAAGGCAAAGTTATAGCGTACAGCAGCTATTCACTAGAAAGATTAAATGCAATTGTCCAAGCTAATTTTCAGCTCAACTTACCATCGACGTTTGATCTGGTATCCGGCCGGTCACTTGTGCCATTCTAGACCTGCTATCGTTCATCTTGGTCAACGCCTCGTGACCATGCTTCTCTATTCCACCAAACTTCCTTACCACTCTGATATATCGATTCCAACCCATTCACCCTTTGAACACGGTACCAAATATCTACACCATTGCAAACGAAACCAAATTAATTGCAACCAGGTGATCTCCTTCTATGATAGAGGCAAAGTTGTGCCTCTTTTCATAGTTCCTAATTTTTCAGGAATGGTGTCATCAAATGACCACATGTATGATTGCTTATCACTCCTACCGACTCCACTGGTGGGTATTTTGTACCAAAATTCGACCTCCCCCTTCTCTCTTGTAGAGACTTCCTCGACTGCCTTCCATCCTTACATGGAGTGATGCATTCCACGACAAGCTCGGTAAGGCGAAAGCATCGTACTAGCATGCGGTGAAAAATCAGGATCCAGTAGAATCAAATGACAGCATACGTGACATGCCCAGGCTTAACAAAGAGCCAGGTCTTTTGATCGGGCGCTGGAGTTTCACGGAAGCCTGCCAGAATTTCAACAGCTTTCTCTTTCTGAGCGAGCCATTTCACCATTGCCGTCACAACACGAATCATCAACGAAAAACTTCACTCCAGCGGTATTCATCCCCAATTGGGGAGGCGGGTGGAAGTCGAGGCCCTCACATTACAAACAAGTGAGGCCTGATAGCATCTTGGATGGTTATCTCGAGAAGCTTCAAATGCTGCTGGCGAGGCGTACGACTGGAGAGATCACATCCGATTACGCCGTGCACAATGGGTAGCTCTGTGTTGGTTGTTGAATCATGAGGTACACATAAATTCGGAAATTGAACATTCGTACAACATTCTTGGGGCGTCGGCGGATCTGCGTACGAGGAATGGAAATGGCTTTGGAAGTCATCACGTTGAGGCGCGGCCAGATTCTGCAAGACACCGACAACTCCTCCCTTGTCTAAGGCCTAGATGACTTAGCCCGATAAATGACAAGTAGTGTCCATGGATGAAAAATCTCGCGCGTTGTTACTGGAGGGTTGTTACGATGTCATTGGGAATGGGTAAAGGATGTCTGGTCAAGGACAGGAAGTGGTTGGTTGACAGAACAAAGGGGTGTCTCCTCTATCGAACGAATCTGCGGTTTTGACTAAATCTTTTTGAAGCGTGAATGATTAGTGACCTGCCTAGAGTTTGTTTCTGAAAATGGACTAGCAAGATTCTTAACACATCTGAGAATGCATCGAAGACCCTGTCTGCACCCTTTGACTTTGTTATCTGACTACAGGGCAATTGCTCTTCTCTATATAGCTTTCCTGTAGTCTATTGAGTAAAAGTTCGACGTACGTACTTCCCGACCATATCAGTTAATAAATACTAATAAACGCCGCAGACCAAACTGTCACCCTCTTCAACCCTGCCAATCTCCCTGTGAACACTACTCCCCAAGCCTATAAAAAGCTCGCCATGCCTCCGTCGGACGCAAACACCACTCATTAACGACGTCGCGGAGCGTTGCAGGATTATACAACCCCCCTGATAGTTAACCAAAGATGCAGTTCCCTCACTTTTCGACCCATGCGTTTGGAAGTACCCCAAAGATATTATAAAATCGCTAGAAAAGCCCCATTGGAAGGCACGCCAAGCAAGCCCTTCTGCAGGGCTAGCAATTATCGTAGCATCTAGCACTATTGCGCTATCGCCTTCAACGGTATGTATTGTTGTCCACGAGGGGCACCTTGCGTATAGCAACACGGAGTTCGAAATCGTCGGTACGTACGCACAGCCGAACAGGGTTAATGTGCGGGTTCGGGAAGTTTTCACCGGGACCACAGGGAGTATTTCGAACATGGATTTGTCAATTGTGGCCCCGGCGAGGCAGGTGAGAATGAAGTGGGATGGACGGTCGATAAAGACTGCGGGCTGGCTTTGGAAGCCTTGAACAGGAAGATAGCGATATTTATAAGGTCTACATGAAAACACTGACGATTGAACCCTGATAGACAGACTCGTACGACGCGTGAGCGTATTCATAATAGTTGAAGGTAATATTCGGCGGCCTTCGCGACCACGTAATCCTTACTAGGCCCCAGTCAAGACCGGGTAAAACTATGAAGTCAATCAACTTCCATTTCTCAAAGGCTGTAATTATCCTCGTGATTGCAGACGGTCAAAAGGTTTTCAGGAGGCCCACCTAAGGTCCAATCGCAGCTGGCGAGCGAATGCAATTTCCGATCTTACCAAGTACCACCCTTCTAGTATATCACTCAAGATAACCAGTCATATACGAAAAAAAGACGCCGATGGGCCCACTTACTGTAACAGGATCTTTACTCGACTTCGGATTCGAGCGCATGACCATCTCTGTTAGCTGCTCTTTCATTCAGGGAGTCGGCTGTTTTGGAGTGTGGTGCAATCGTATTGGTGATGCAGGTCTTGGTAGAAGAAAGACCCAGGCAATGTGCAAATGCGTTCTTCATTGTTCAAAGGTAAAAGGATCGCCGCTACGATTTCTTGTCCGATTCGTTGATGTCTGGGATATATACTCCCAACGCTTTACCAGTAGAGGCCGGATTGGATTGAGGCAAGATAAGACTACGTGATGGAAATATTGACGATCTTGATGTCCTCCTCTGGTTTCTCTTTATATACCCTGGTATTCTCAATCTTGTGTATGACAT